AGAAATTCAATTGTTTTGAAGAGACACACTACTAGTGTCTTCTCGGATCATTGTCTTTCACTGAACCACTACAAAACTCCATGACCGCATTAGCAGGAGCTTTAGTCTTAAGAATCATTTCCTCAAACTCCTCTTCTGGGTTTGACAACGCAACGATTGCTCCTCCTGCTCCTATGGAAGCTTCATCCCCATGTATCACCACTGTTCTTATCACAATATTCAGATCAAACGTACCATTATATGAGAAATACCCGATTGAGCCAGAGTAAAGGCCTCTCGAACAGTTCTCTAGAGAATCGAGAATCTCAACGGATCTTAGCTTTGGCGCACCAGTCATTGAACCGCCAGGGAAAGCTGCTCTTACACATTCCACTGGACTAATATCTGATCTTTTCAGTCCACGGATTGTGCTGACCATAGTGTGTACTGTCGTGTATGATTCCACGTCCATGAGGTTAGGCACATGGACTGAACCAGGCTCACAAACACGACCGAGATCATTCCTCAGAAGGTCGACAATCATCAGGTTTTCAGCTTGATTCTTCTCACTGTTTCAAGACAAGGTTTAAACCATTCAGAACAAAGATTCTAGAACAATCCGAGACTCTCATGATATACAAAGGCTAAAGAATAACGTGTTTGGTGTACCTGAGTTTCAATTGCAATTTAAGAAGCTCATCTTCTTCAGGTGTGGAGCCACGAGCTATAGTACCCTTAATCGGCTTTGCTTCGAGCATTCCATTTCTGTCCAGCTGAAGAAATCTTTCAGGGGACGAGCAGCATAATGACAGATTCGCATTTGAGAAGTTGAGAAAGGCTGCATATGGTGCTGGATTTCTTTCTCTCAAATGGAGATAAAGTCCTAAAGGATCAGTATTCCCTATTTTCCATCTGTTCTGAGTAGTAAGACAAAGCTCGTAGCTCTCTCCGTCTTTGATACACTTCATACAGCTCTCAACATCGTCAATATACTGCTCTCGGGATTTGTCAGGAACAAAACTTGTTTTGCCTTGACATGAATCTATAGCAGGAAGAGCTTGATCCTTCAAATTTCTTGTGTACGAACCCCTCAGGCTAATGAGCTTCTCTTCAGTATCATTCAAGAAAGAGGTTTCTGCGGTGCCCTCTTCGTGAAGAGATAATACATAAACGTCATCAAGTTGATGGTCAATGGCAACAATGTTATCCACAAAGAAAAAGCATGCATCCGGAGCCTTGGATTTGTGACGATTAATTGGCATTCCACATTCTACTTTAATATCATACCTGCAATACAAGAAGAGGTAATTAAGACCAAACTGTACAATAGAAAGCCAGGTCTGGATAAGACTTGTAAGAGATATTCACGGGCTAATGATTCAACACATACCCAATACAACCTATGTATCCACCGCAAAAATCAAAAGGCAGCTGTTCAAAGTCCTTCTCATCATAAGAGATAGATGAAAGCTCCTGGTAAAGATACAGTTGAGTAAGTTTTAATGAATTTGATCATAGTAAAAAATATATCATTTCCATGATTGTTGAAACTATGCCTGATCTGGTTAATAGACCAGCAATGTCGTCAATTTACAGAGTGTTGGTTTCAAACAGAGTAGTTCCAAACTAGAGTAAAAACTTTCTTCGTACCTTACGTAGAAAATCAAGAAAGCCTTCTTCCAAGAATCGTTTCTCAGTAGAATTCTGAGCATCTTCGATAAGAAGGTATCCAGCATGTTTAGATGTAATCTCACTGAGAAAACAGGTAGTAAAATCAATGTTACAATTCCCATTATGATCCATCATTGTAAGGATTATCTCACCCATATCAATATAGTCTCGCATAGTGACCAAACACATAGGTACAGAGAAAATTTGCAGGCAAATGGGTTATGACCTTTGCAGGTAAAAAAAAAAAAAAAGAACCTTTGTCGGATAGAGAAAGAGTAGGTCATGCGTAAAACCTTTGATCAGATAAACTAAATGTCAATTGCTTCCAGAGAGATCCACCTTTACCACCCATGAAAGAAAATCGCCCTCTCGCCTTGGAACAATGCAATTGAAAGAAACATTCTTTAGAATAAACTTGTCCACTAACAATGCCAGAAACTATTGCGACTTGAAGAGAATAGACTACCAACCTTGTCACTAGACGAAGTATCCAACCAAAAAGCATCATTCCCTCCACTCTTGCCAAAGAGTTCCATGAATATATTTCTTGATCCGCCAACTTTATGTGCAAGACGTTCAAGCTTCTTCCATTTCAACCTCAGCAATTTTGTATGAGGTTTTGGATATGATAAATCAACCAAATCAAAAACGTCTACACCATTTGTCTTCCCATATGAGCTAGAACCATTTCCTGTACATCTAGTTCTGGAAAGTTGTTTTAGCAATTGACTAGCATCAGGCACCTGCATGTTTGCTAAAGAATATTTATTATTCAGGAGAAGCTCCAAGACACTTAAGTATAAAGCAACGCCAGGTCTCAGGATGGAAAAAGATAGGAGAGACAGAAATGACTTTCTAATACCAATGAAACCATAAAGTTTAGAAGAGCTAACCAGTGTCGTTTATGTTTCTTCGACGCAATGACGGAGACTTGCAGCGACTCCAATAATCCACAGTTACGTCTTTGAAATTCTTGAATAGTTGACTTCCGTAGGTGGTAGCAATACTCTCCGGATGAAACTGAAAGCAAAATGCATGTCAAACACATCAAAGAACAATGAAGGAAACTTAGTCCTAAATATGATCTCTAATAAACATCAAACCTGTAAACCATAATGGGGAAAAGTAGAGTGCATGATGCCCATGAGAATGTGTCCATTTCGTTTTCCATCAACATCGGACGAAAGCCAATAACTACGATTTTCCAACTTTTCGGAAACAGAAATGACAGACCCTTCCCCCAGTGGGCTAACAGTGTTATTCACAGGAACAGAGAACTTCTTCTCAGAGAAAGAACCAGTGTCATCATAAACTGTCCACGCTATTGGTACAAGTTCCTTTGGCAGTGATTCCTTATCTATGATCAGTGAATGGTATCTAACAACCTGCAGATTTGAAGCACCAACACAAATTTTACTTTTTACTTAGAGAGAGCAATGATTGTTGCCTGTAAAAATTAGATGACCTGCCTTGAAATCAGAGTTTCTCCCAGATGGAATATCAGAAAACAATATGTTCCCATTATGTTCAATCCCACTACATGAAGGAGATGGAAATGGTGAGTAGAATATCTAGAAGACACTGAGAAATGGATATTTGAGGATAGGACCATATATCACATTCTATAATACCTCAAGCGTCCATGGACTGGTTCCGGGGCATGAATCACATGAGCTCCATGGACATAACCCAATGCCTGCAAAAACATCTGGTCTTAGTTTACAGGCATAACCGTAGAGAGAGCGAAAAACAACTCATTTCATGACTAATGTAAAAACTAAGACCGGAAAAGCTCTGAAATATCCGAAAACAATCAACAAATGAAATGCTGCCATCTTTTTGAAGATTAAATTACCTGGTGGCCAAGGCAGACACCAAGAATTGGAATATCACGACATTCAAGCAAAAGGCGAAGACATATTCCTGGAGAGCCAAAGTGAGGATCGATAAAACACAAACGAAGGTGGGTTTATAATGGGAAACAAAGCAAAAAATTGGCTAATACCTATATCAGCTGGACACATTGGAGAACCAGGTCCAGGTGAGATAACAATATTATCGAAAGCAGCGTCTACATATAAGTAATGGTAAGCTTCTTCCCACGTCCACTCATCATTTCGAATAACCACAGGAGGCACTACATCGGATACATAGCCAAAAATGTTCATAAAAAACGTAGTATCCATGTATGGAAATTGAAAGAGAGGCTATGAAGTTACCTCCATTAATAGTACTTAGTGCCTGATATATATTGAATGTGTAACTATCATAATTATCAATTAACAGAGTCCTCACAAAGCCAAGCCTCTCTACAGGGTCTCTTCTCGGTAGACTCTTCTTAACAATCGATGAATTTTCCAAGTGTCTTGGCACAAAATGGCTCGACACGAAAACCTTTCTCGATCCACGAGGAGTTAAATTAATGTACCTTTTCTTCCATTTTTCATCAAATTTACCCAATTCAGGAGAAAACAACCGGTTTGAAACTGAAAATCTCAGAACATTGTCACTTGGATACGAAATCTCGGAAGATGTTGAGCAAAAAAACGAAAATTTCATGTTCATAGCTCCTGCCAAAAGTGGAGAAACAGAGAGTTTTTAAAACAATCCTTAAAACATCATTATGTAAATTAGGTGGTCAAAACAAGAACACAATGATTTGCCTCACATCAAGTGGTGGGTTGGTTCAATTTAAGAGGAATCATTGTAACTTTTACATTTTTTCATAGCACACAGAAAACTCGGCCACAGAACGAAATTAGGGTTCCTATGTCACCTATCACCATAACTAAGGTTTCATTTTCCTATGCATCAGTCTCTAACACAGTTAATCTCGATTCTCAACCCAAAAACTGCACCATTGTATCCCGATTAATCCAAGAAAATGAAACGAGAATCATTAGACTAATCAAATTCTTTCTACTTAATTCCTCCTCCTAAATCTACTTTGAAATC